TGATAGTGTTTCTGAATACATTATTGTGGGACTTTGAGTGACAGGAGAGAGAGAGAGAGAGAGAGAGAGAGCAATGGTGAATATGACAACATGATACAGGACGACTGACTGTGAGTCTATTAGAATGCAGTGATATGATCCTAAAATTCTAAATATGAGCACAAAAAATTACCCTCTTATAATTATATCATATGATACAGTTTAGCAATATCACACCAGTTAAAGTGCTGTATATTGATTTATACAACAGTTCAATAAACAAGTGAATATTTTTTTTGTTAATGTTTTTGCTCAGTTTCACAAATGAAAATAGTTCCAGTCAAAGCCACAGCAGAACTGATGAGTGTCTCTAATTAACACACAGCAGTGATTCGCTACTGAACGAATCCATGTTTTTGAATGAATCAAGTGAATCAATGATTCAGTGACTCATACAAAAAGTGTCACTTCTTTTGTTTCTGAATGAATCAGCCATTTGATTGAATCGGTTGAATGAATGATTCAATGATTCAACTCGCAGCCACCTACTGGTGCTTTTAGTTTCATATTGAGAGTATATCAAATTCATTTAAATTATTTTCATATTTCAATATTCAATTAAAAAAAAACATTAATACCCATTTACTATCATGCTTTGTTCAATGTTGACCCAAAATATTTCTTTCTTAATCTATTCTCTTGTAATGTCTACTCAATGCTTTTCTCTTTTAACGATAATAACTGATATTTTGGAGGTATTTCTCAGCCAAATAGATGTGCTATTATTAATTAAATTAATTAATCTCCATATCATGTAATTAATTCTATTTAAAATGTTAATTGTTTGAGAGCCCTTGCGCTCAGAAGATCTGCACATACTTGGCGAAGCCGATGAAATCCTCGTGGTTGGTGTTGATGTACGCGAGCTGAACGTCGATGAGCAGCAGCACCTGCAGAGACAGACACAGACGCTGCAGAGCCGTAATCTCGTTATCCACCTGCACACACACACATATATATCCAGGTGTGTCGCACCTGCTCTTTGGCTCGGCTCTCTCGGTCACGGATATGAGTCGTGACGATCCGCTCCGTCTCCTCCCGCAGATGAGGGAATGAATCCAGCTGAGCGTGCAGAAAATTAAACACAGAATTAAAAAGCTGACCCACAGTTTCAGGACAGCGGCTGCATGACACGCACTAAACTACACTGCAGTGACGCTCCTGATCGAGTGATCCTCCAGTGAAAGACTGGAAATATAGCGCATGTTCAGTTTACAGACTGCTGTAAAGATGCTGCTGCGGAGTCTCCACTCAGAGCAGGATACTGTTTTAATCATCTAATGGATTTGGGTCTGAGAGTCGAGGTCTAGATGGGTGCTAATGCTCATGCTCAGCCGGTTCGGCTCACAGACGCACGCAGATCAAATCAAAGATACTAATCATGTCAGAGCTTTGGGTGAACTATTCCTGATGTGATGAACTACACGTGTGGCTCTTCTGCTAAAACTGCGGTGAAAATCTGCAAAACACTGCCGACTCAAAGCCACTGAGCAACAAAGAATGAAGAATAAGAGAGGCTCATTCTGAGAAACAGCCTGCAGCATTAAACACACACGAGACCTGATGAGTGGCATTTATCAGCCTCTCTCGGCTGCTTTTGGGGACTGGAAAAAGATTTGCAATGTTATTTTTATAATTAGGATGTAATTAGGCATATTTACGATATTCTGTAGATGTACAACAGTCATACATGACAGAAAAAAGCTAAATGCAGGAGTCTTGTTTATTTTTGTGTCTTATCAAATTCTGACAAAGGCTTTTTAACTCTTTTTTTGTTACTACGATAAGAACAGAGAATTAAATTACAAACAAGAGGACAAAGATACAATTAAAATAAAAAAAGTGCTTTAGGTTTTTCTGGTATATTTAGTATTCAGGTACAAAAGACTAAGAATCTGAGTCAAATATGTAATAAAACTGCACAGTCTTCACTGCATGAATTAAATATACTGATCCTTATTAAATCTGCATGCGAGCAGAAATCCACTCTAATTATGACGGCGATATATTTACGACAGTAATTCCACTCATGCAAATATACAGCTGCAGCAGGTTTATTAGGCTGCTGTCACTTTAAGAACCAGTGCACAGATTCAATACACTGACACACATCTGATTTTCTTTCACGGTTCAGTTTACTTAAGTCATAATTGACTGTGTTTACGCGAATACTCGCCAAGATGGGCGTCTGACATAATTTTGTGTCTATTTGATCATTCAGTTTTTATTAGCGGCTTATTGTGCTTAATAACTTTTAACATCGGGCCTGTTTAAATGGCTAATTATGCAGGATCACAAAAAACTGTTATGAGTTCACGTTGAGTTCTAAAAATAAAGTTGTGTCCTTAACATTTATATAATGTATCTGTTTTATGAAACAAGGCACTGGTGCTGAACTCTGTGTGTAAAGAGCGACGCACCTTATCAGAGCACTGACGAACCGTGTTGATCAGCTCCTGAACCACCAGATCAATACACTTAATACACGGCTCCTTGATCTTCACCACCTGCTTCTTCACGATCGCCTCGAAGGCCATGTCTGGAGTGAACAGACCCGTCCTGTAGAAGAAACACGGTCATCTTCAGCGCTTAACACACACCTGACCCTAAAACCCACAGATCTGATCCCACAGGAACATAACAGGGTTTGTGAAGACAGAGACAGATCGGTCAGTCAACAGACCCTCACCTAATGCCATGGATGTTCTTGATAGCGTAGCTGATTTCCCGCCGCATCTCTTTCTCGTCACACTCCATCTGTCACACAGACGGGTCAGAAACAAGGACGGTTAGGACGGAGCCGTGAGAGCAGAGCACAGTCTCAGTGTCCGGCTGACTTGCCTTGACCAGCTCGAAAGGGAAGCGCTCGTGGAAGATGCGGTTGATCTTGGCTCCTCCAGACAGCTCCACGGTGTCCACCTGATCACCAGAGCCTTCGATACGCTTCTCGAAGTCCACCGAGAACTGCTGCACCATCCTGCAGACGCACACACACACATCTGCAGCTCTACTCACTGCGCTGCGGTTTATCTGAAACGAGGACTGAACTAATCATCAAGTGAACATGCTGTTCTGATGAATTTCTTCACATATACTGTACATGTGTGTGTGATTGGTCTGAAGAGACTCCTGCTGGACTGACTCCAACTTAGTCTCAGTTTGAATGTAATTTAAATGATGAATTTATGAGAAATAAAGCTAGGGACCTAACCCTAACCCATTATGAGACGTTTTCCCTCGGCTGACAACAGCTGAATTCAACCCGAGTGTTATTTTGAGCAAAGCAGAGCTTCACAATAAAGAAAAGAAAGGCCATCTGTCGTGTGATTCAGAGATAATGCTGCGTTACATGCTGTGTGTCCATCCAGAACATGCAGAGAGATCTGAGACGATCTGAACCTGGATGAGACTGACTCTGGACCAGATTAACTCACCCTCTTCTGCTGTTAAAAGACTGTCAGGACTGACTAGAGACCAGAGCAACATTAGCGATGGGCACAGTTACTTTAGCGGCTGATATCATTGCATGTGCATTTGTTTCTTTCAGACGCAGCATTAATGTGAGGAGAGGATTTCAATCCATCATCATCTGATTTACTGAGATCTGCACTCGTCAGTTTACTGGGATCTGTGCCATTATTTAACACTCAAATAAAGCAGGTCTCGTTTAGCGTCCGTGCTGTTAGTCGATCACACACCTGATTATCTCCGGCTCTGCTCGTTAGCCACGCTCTTGTAGATTGTGTTGGGCATTATGGACATGTATTTTGTACTTTGGTTGATTCAGTGATCTTAACTCTTATTTTTGACTTGTATTATATAGTGTTAATCTTGTCAGTCATTTTTAATTTAGTCTTAGTCTTTTAAATTAGTCTTAGTCCTGGTGTCAAATGTACGGTTTAGTTATTATCATATTTAGTCAACCTTGTCCTGTTTTGTTTTAGTTTTAGTCAATGAAAACTTTGTCACATTTTTGTCATGCTGTATAATAGTTAAACTGATCATTTTTATTTTTATTGCTTAAAATTATAATCATAATGATTGTTGTCATTTGAGAAATTTATTTTTACATTTCAGGAATTTTACTTTCACCAATAAGCACACATCAACAGAATATGGACTTTATTTGACCTCATCTAGTGTGCTGATTTATTACAGGCTATTTAATATATAAATTAATATCAAAGACTTATATATACACTCTCTCTGACCGCATTATGAAAACTGGCAAAAACACACAAAAAAATTTAACAGTAAAATTCCTGATAGTAATTCCAATATTTCCAAATTGCAATAATGTTTGTCTATTAAAACAGCAGCGGTTGAGTAAGAAACACAATCACAAACGAAACAGTCGAGATCTCGTGACCGAACACAGCGGCTGAAGGATGCTTTCATTAAAGCTGAACATCTCAGAGATTCTCGTTTGTCTGTGTTTGCAGATCATCGTCCGCGCTTCAGCAGCACATGGTTGCCAGATTGCAACAAATAAGCAGAACATGTTTTAACAGAGAAGCTCTGATTTGGGCTTTGAGCTCTTGATATCTGGCAACCGCACACATGAATGCTCGTGTAGAGGCGTGTAAATTTATTTAATAAAAATACATTTTGGTATAGTTTTTATTTTTAAAATACATTTTAGTCTCGTCTTTTTTCGTCAACGATATTGCATGTTGATATAGTCACAGTTATCGTTTATTGATCTTAATGCCCTCTCATCATCGTCTCATCTTAGTCATGGGAAAGCTCGTCAACAAAAAATTTTCGTCATACTTTTCATTAACAAAATGAACACTAGAATTATCTGTTTTAGATCACTGAATCAACCTTAATACCTTAATTATAATCTAATTATAAAAATACAACTACGTCTGTCTTGACTCGCTATTATCGCTCAAAGCTTAAATTAATGTGTGAATCACTGATGCACGACGGCATCAAGCACAACACTGAGCAAACAGACATATGAATACTACATTATTACATTAATACTACATGCTACTACTAATACTACAGCGAGCTCATAGTGTCGTCAGCCGGAAAGGAAAGCGAACACATTTTGCTGAAAGACTGGCGTGCACTGACTGCAGCAGGGCTTTGGTCTTGCGTGACGGGTCGTCGGGCCGGTACTGCCGGTACTCCTCCGCCTCTCGGTCCAGAGACAGCAGCTGCGACTGCAGTTTACTGCGGAAGGCAGGCAGCGTGTCCCGGATGTGGTTGGTCAGTTGCTGTGGAAACAATAATGCAACAGCAGCAGCTCCATTAAATCCATAAGAAGTCATGAGCATCATCAAATTCAGTGCGGCTCTTCAGCGCCACAGTACCTGATTGAGGACCTTCTGCAGGTGTGGGGTGCCCATGCTGTCTGCTATGTGTCTGTAGGCCGGATGAGTCAGAAAGAACTTCCTCTCTGCCGCCAGAGCCGCTTTGATGTCCTTCTTCCCGTCGATGTCTTTCTGACTGCGGTTCACCACGCCGATATAACCTGAGTGAGCGAGCGGATCACTGCAGTGCTTTAGTGTCAATAATTATCGATACCGAACGATATGAAACATTATATTGTTGATAAATTTTTTAGCTATATCACCCAGACCTACTTTCAGTATTTTTGAATATTAAAACTAAGGCTGCCATTTTAATGCACTCATTTGGTGAGATTAATTATGGAAAAAAATAATGATTAAGGCATTTAACGCAGCGCCTCGTCCAGACCTGTCTGTCATCTTACACTGATGCAGGGCGACTGACCGCATGAAGGAGTCTATTAGAATGCAGTTATATGAGCCAAAAATTAAAGATATGAGGGCAAAAATCACCCTAGTTTAGCAATATCACACCAGCAAGAGTGCTGCTTCTCCCCAGTATATGCACCACTGCAGGTGTGATACTGATTTTATACAATATTTCAATAAAAAAGAAGTTCATATTGAGTTCTCATTTTAGACACAATATTGTCAGTATTGTCTGCTTTTGCTCAATATCTCAAATTAAATCAGTTCCAGTCAAAGCCACAGCAGAGCTGATGAGCGTCTCTGAGAAACACACAGCAGTGATTCATTACTGAATCAGTCCACGGTTCTGAATGGATTGAGAGTCAAACAGCTTTGTTTGAACGAATCGGTTGAGTGAATGATTCAATGACTCGCTCATTAAGACAGTGATAGTTTCCTATTCAGAGTATCAGTTCACTTTTTTAAATCATTTCAAATTTCAATATTAATTTAAAAAACAATACCCATTTATTATCATTCTTTATACAATGTTGAATCTAATTTTTTTTGTCTAAAGCTGATGTTCTTTTGTAATGTCTATTCAGTGCTTTTCTCATTTATCAAAATAATGACATTACATGATCTTTTGGCGGGTCATTTCTCAGCCAAAATCGAAGTGTGATTAATTAATCAGTACATAATGTAATTGACTAAATTAAAAAAATAATTACTTGACATCCCTAAATAAAACCAAAAAACCTCTGACATGAGAACTAAAAAGTGTGATGTGACAGAGGTGAGTCAGGAGCGAGGGTTTCTCACCGCGGCGCAGAGGAAGGAGCTTGTTCTCCAAAACATCTCGTGCGTCTGTACCTTCATCCATCAGGTCGAGTTTGGTGATCACACCGATGGTCCTCTGGCCTGTAATGAGGTGCACTCAGGAGAACAGAAATGTCTTCCAGCATTCACCAACAGTGAGATTACACTTTACACAAAACAGCTACGGGTCAGATAAATCATCAGCAGGACGAGTGAGGAGTGGACTAAGACACTGACCGTACTCGAACCTGCCTCCTGTCTCACCACTAAACCACAGCTCCAAGACACACACAACAAGCCTTCACCATATTGTCATAAGAAATTAATTTGTAATTTTTTAGAGGATTTAGAGCAGGACTAGAGCAAGATACAGCAGCTCTGGACCTGCCTCGTGTCTTACCACGAAACCACGGCTCCAAAAGCCACGTAATAAACCTTCATCTTATTCTCATGAGGAACTGGTGTGTAATTTTGTAAAGGATTTAGAGCAGGACTAGAGTGCAGCACCAGCTCTGCTCTGAGGCTCTTGGAGGTCAGGAGGTCAGGAGGTCACTCACCCTGAGGGTCGACGTCTTTGGCCAGTTTGAGCGCGTCAGAGTTGGCCAGGTCAGTGTTAGCCGGAGTGACAGCCAGGATCAGGCAGCTCTCGCGGCAGATGAACTGCATGATCATGTCTCGGATCTGATGCTCGATGTCAGCCGGCTGATCTCCCACCGGCACTTTAGTGATGCCCGGCAGGTCGATGAGGGTCAGATTCAGCACTGCACAGAGTCAAGAGGACGGATGGAGAGATGGAGAGATGTGTGACGGGCCAGCAATGAAGGCAAATAAAACAGAATAAAGATTGAATTAATAATGCTAGAACCTCTGATTCGTGCCATGACCTCATAACCCCTGTAGACTTTCCAATAAATATAAGCTATGCTGCATTGTACATCGTGAAATTTGTGACACTGTGTGCTGTTAAATCCAAAAATGCTTCTCACAAACATGGTTCAGGACTATGTGCACATTCACAATCTTGCATCCGAAAGGCTTTTTCAGAAGCCGTCTAACATGCGACACCATACGCAGTGAGATTTTGCTAGGATTTCTCCGTCTACAGGCAGAGCAGCTCAGTTTTCCAGTACCGTTCGGGGAATAAACCCTCAGGTTGATGGGAACGGGTGAAATGCCCTTATTGGCCCCGGTGACGCGGTCGGTCTCAGCCTCGATCTCTTGACGGACTTCATCGAAATCGGTGAATTTCTTCCCTTTGCAGTGCAGGAACTCGGCCCACTCTGCAGATTCAAGACCACACGCCGATGTTAGACAGACAGAGAGACATAAGCAAAACATAGAACATTTGAAGTACTGAGTTAATAAACTAATAATAAACTTTACTAATTAAATAAAAAATTAAATTAGCAGAACATCAGCTATAGATTTTTCCTGTCCAGCTGCATGTTAATTACACTTAACCTGAAGCACGGAGTAAGCGGTCTGAGACACGAGTTCACCTGTGTTTGCGGTGATGAGCTGCAGAACAAGTGGTCTGCGTGTGACGATTCCGGATCCACGGGGCAGAAAATCCCTGGAAAACACACAGAGCCACTGCTGTCCATCTCACTGACTCAAAACAACAACACAACACCATTGTTCTCTGTGTAATGTGATCCGTGTGCTTCCCTGCCATTCTGCAGACGTTTTTACATTTATATTACTCTATTACACTGAAACACCAGTCCAGTTAATCAGACTACATTACAGCTGCTCCCGCTTGTCTGATTAACAAAACCGCCTCTAAATTGACTGCTATTCCTGTCCAAAGATCATGAACATTTACTGTTTTCTGAATTTTGAGTTTTGTCTCATCTAGTGAAAAACTGATTTATCAGCCTGCATTTTTTTATCATATTATAATTATATTAAGTACACATACACATAAACAACAGCTGCATATGAATGGCCAGTTAATACAAAATCTACTAATGGCCTTGTCAAAAAATAATGAATAAAATTCCAATATTTACAGTATTTTAGAGTGAATTTTGCGATATTGTTTAATTTCAGTGATGCAAGTTTCTATCAGTAAACTCTAATATGTCATGCATGATATCGTCCACCCAGCTGGATATGACATCACATTTGTTGATGCTAATATGAACATAATGCATTCTATCACTGTAATGTGAGGCTGTGGAACAGCCTTCCTGGTTTAAGAGTCTCCAGCACTTTGAGTCTAGACTGAAGATCTGAAGATATTTTCTCTCAGTTGCTCTCAGACAATATTTATTGTGAAATGCAATATAAATATACCGTATTCCCCTCGCTCATCACAGTCTCGGCCCTCCCCTGGCTGTCGTCTGATATCAGTGACTGCATTAGTCTGTCTGTATTAAACATGATCACATGCTGCCTCAGTTTCCACAGGTGTACCTCAGGGTTCACTTCTCAGACCGCTTGTAATCCTAACTTTATAAATACTTTTAATTTTAAAATCATGCTAGTTCAGCCCAAATCTCTAATATCGTCTCATTCCGATCTCTGCTCAGATATTGACAGTAATTTGGTTAGGCTCGTCTATTTGACTCGTCATTCTTTGTTTCCCACATAAACCACGTTGTAATATTCTCTTTCTTTCAACTCCTCGTGTTCAGTCCTCCCATAACTTTAAAGATGCAAAACAACTATTTATGCGTTCATAACCTGCCACCTAGATGACGGTAACATCCTTTTAAAGCCGTTGTCACACTAGATGCTGAACACGCAAAATTTCTACAGACGCTACAACAGTTGTAATATGAAGTCACGCTTCTGCATGTTTTATAAAAACATAATTCAATAATACAGTCAAAGTGTAAAAATATGCAATCTACTGCAGTTTACTGCAACACTGCAGTCCTGTAATGCAATTCTGTCTTCACATGATGCAAATTTGCAGGTCAGAGTTCAGAAAAATTCTCCTGCATTAGCATGCATATGAATGGACGTCAGTAGAGTAAAAAGTGCATTGTGACGCCCCTTAACTGGTCTTCCAATGAATATACTCCTGAACTTAATATCTGTCCTGAATATCAGCTTCAGTCTCCCAGTCGCCTAAAGCAAACAGTCTAAAATCCCAGGAACCATTTTCCAGGCTTGCTACGGCCTCAGAAAAAAAAAAACATACAAAATCTGTCACTGGGGTGGTACCCTTTCAAAATTGACCTTTTTTACCCCTAAAGGGTGCATATAAACAGAGCTGGGTAACTGATTACATGTCATCTGAATCACATAATCAGATTCCAAGAATTAAGTACTTGTAATTAGATTCAATTATGATTTTAAATACTCTTAATCAGACTACAGTTACTTTTTTATTGATTACATGATTACGTATTATTCACACAATAGCCACACAGCATTTGAGCACTGGATTTACAGAAATCATTTCAGGTTTAAGAAGTGTTTCAACACTGCATCAACTCCTGATGAACACATTAATGTTTATATGAATTATCACTCAGTAGGTTTTTTAACCATGTGTTACTGTGTCTTTGGAAGGCTTTTGTCTTTCAAACACATTAAAATGTATAAATTAATGTTATTTCTTATTTACATGTAATGTAGGCATTCCCAAACTTGTCATCTGAACCTCTTTCAGCTAATATATTTACTTGAAGTACCCCTGAGATTTTAAAATAAATATTTTAATAATTAAGTAATACATTTGCATGTTCACAGTTCTCCGACGTTGGTCAATGGTCAGATGAGATACAGGTAAATATGAAATATTTAATATTTTTAGGAAGTGTTTTATTTTGATTTGTGTTATTTTAAAATGATTTACTTTAAGTTTATATTTGTATGATTTAATTATTAGCTTTTCATTTAACTCACAAACCCCCTGCAGTTTCTTTATGAACCCCAGTTTAGGAAACCTTTATAATGGTATATCAATATGGTACAAAATTGTCCTATTTAAATCAATGTGATAAACGAGTTAGGTCAAAATGAATCTAAAAAGTAGTCTGATTATATTACCTAAAATGCATAATGTAATGGATTACGTTACTGACTACAATTTCTGTCATGTAATTTGGAAACAGTAACGGACTACAATTTGTAAGTAATCTTTTTATAAATACCTTAAAGAGACACATTAGTACCTACATACTTGCATCTTATTTGCCCCAGTGACAGCTTTGTACCTTTTTTTCTGAGAGTGCAATGCATTTTTAACAGAATTAATTCATTTGTATTGAATGCACACCCTAACCAAACCCAAGACAGTCATCCGTGGGTGGAGGATCCTTCAGTCACTCAACTTCTGCCTGAAATTTCATCCATTCATTCTCTCCAGATTGATAACAGGCATATTTGTTATGCAAAGCTTCGCCAGCTCATCTCTGCTTTGTTTGTTTCATATTTTTTAAACATCCTTGAGCTCTTTAAGGGTACCATATTATTTTTTTAATACTATCTAATTTCTATTATTTAGCCATCACAGAAGTTCTAATGGTTTCCACTACAAATACCATTACAAACCATCAGCTGCCAACCATTAAAACCAGTACAGTTTCCATTAAAGCCAACACAATTCCCACTATAACCATTATAAAATTAAATTTTTTTTGTAAGTTATAGGGTTTCTATTGTTTTCTTGTTGCATCATTTACTGCTCTCTTTCTCTGATGAATGGTTCAGAAATCAGAACTCATTGCTGCCTGTGGTTATGCACACTGTTACACTGCATCATGTGCACACTGTTACACTGTATCGTGTGCACACTGTCGGGATGAGATCCTCCATGCCCCGGTTCCCCATGATGGAGGTGATGGAGGTGATGCGGCAGTGCGTGGACTAGAGATAGAGAGGAGGAGGAGGAGGAGGAGGAGGAGGAGGGCGCATCTAGCCGCGCATCAGCTACAGACACACAAACATTGCGCAACTGTTTTTATATCCGCAAACACTGACTGACAACATCAGCTCCTCAGTATTACATATTCCATCGTCATTATGCTACTACGAGTGTGTGTTTTTACACGTGCATCATAAGAGATGTAGGCCTAATGTATTTACACGGATGACAAGAGAGATGCGGAGAATGATAAAAAAGGCTGTAGATGCATTAATAAGGGCTGTGTTCATATGGATGATATAAGCATGCAGATGTAATTGTGAGCGATGTAAATCATGTAATACGCCATCATCGCCGCGGCCCATCGCCTCCATATAAACTGACATTATTCATGCAGACTCACCGTTATCCCGCCGCACCTGAGCGCCTTAAATCGCAAAACCTAATCCAGTTACTGATGAACAAATCCCCGGCGAGAGAGTCGTGTTACTGTTGACGGATCGGAACGGACACATCTGTATGTCACGCTATTTCATCCGACAGTCTTTCTCTCCGATGACAAATTAATCGCCCTGCAATCTATGCCTGCATCGCAGCCGCGCTAATTACGATGCAACGCTGTCGAGCGATTGGCGCAGGACGCGACCAATCAGAGACGGAGCTCCGCCGGCGCTGCACTAATCGCACTGTGCAGAATACACTTCGCTCATGAATATTAATGACTCAGGCTGCAGTTGCGTGATAAGTCTACTGGAGAGTTCGGTCACGACATCTAATTAATATTCATAAGCCAAGCCTTCGCTCCAGGAGAAACTGCTGATTGGTCAGATGACTGGCGATCGCTAACAAGTGTTTTGCCTGTCAGCCAATCGGTCAGAACTACGGGATGAACGTGCCGTTACGTGCTGAATATTCATGAGCGATCCACGCCAGTCAAAACCCTCCTGTTCACTGCTCAGAGCTGAAATCCACAAAACAACGCAGCCACTTGAAGAACAACCTCAGATTTGGTCATATACTAAGGGATTTTCATTACTTTATTACTCTACAGTCCTTGTACCTGTAAACCAGCATTCGTCTAAGAAAACAGACTTTACATCCGATTGCACCGCGCAAAGACGAGTAAACTGTGAATGAAACACCATTAATTAATGAAGATTTGCATCTGCTGACATGATGTTGAAATGATATCCAGTGGATGTGAGAGGCCGAGATTGATTTGTAGGCCTTCTCTGCTCGTGACCAGTAGATGTCTCTGTTGATCCACCAGACAGAATCTGCTCTCTCTACAGATTAATGGATCTAATCACAAACACAGACACACAGACACAGACAGAGACAGACTCAGACACACACACACACACACACACACACAGACACACACACACACAGACACACACACACACAGACACACACACACACAGACACACACACACACAGACACACACACACACAGACACACACACACACAGACACACACACACACAGACACACACACACACAGACACACACACACACAGACACACACACACACAGACACACACACACACAGACACACACACACACAGACACACACACACACAGACACACACACACACAGACACACACACACACAGACACACACACACACAGACACACACACACACAGACACACACACACACAGACACACACACACACAGACACACACACACACAGACACACACACACACAGACACACACACACACAGACACACACACACACAGACACACACACACACAGACACACACACACACAGACACACACACACACAGACACACACACACACAGACACACACACACACAGACACACACACACACAGACACACACACACACAGACACACACACACACAGACACACACACACACAGACACACACACACACAGACACACACACACACAGACACACACACACACAGACACACACACACACAGACACACACACACACAGACACACACACACACAGACACACACACACACAGACACACACACACACAGACACACACACACACAGACACACACACACACAGACACACACACACACAGACACACACACACACAGACACACACACACACAGACACACACACACACAGACACACACACACACAGACACACACACACACAGACACACACACACACAGACACACACACACACAGACACACACACACACAGACACACACACACACAGACACACACACACACAGACACACACACACACAGACACACACACACACAGACACACACACACACAGACACACACACACACAGACACACACACACACAGACACACACACACACAGACACACACACACACAGACACACACACACACAGACACACACACACACAGACACACACACACACAGACACACACACACACAGACACACACACACACAGACACACACACACACAGACACACACACACACAGACACACACACACACAGACACACACACACACAGACACACACACACACAGACACACACACACACAGACACACACACACACAGACACACACACACACAGACACACACACACACAGACACACACACACACAGACACACACACACACAGACACACACACACACAGACACACACACACACAGACACACACACACACAGACACACACACACACAGACACACACACACACAGACACACACACACACAGACACACACACACACAGACACACACACACACAGACACACACACACACAGACACACACACACACAGACACACACACACACAGACACACACACACACAGACACACACACACACAGACACACACACACACAGACACACACACACACAGACACACACACACACAGACACACACACACACAGACACACACACACACAGACACACACACACACAGACACACACACACACAGACACACACACACACAGACACACACACACACAGACACACACACACACAGACACACACACACACAGACACACACACACACAGACACACACACACACAGACACACACACACACAGACACACACACACACAGACACACACACACACAGACACACACACACACAGACACACACACACACAGACACACACACACACAGACACACACACACACAGACACACACACACACAGACACACACACACACAGACACACACACACACAGACACACACACACACAGACACACACACACACAGACACACACACACAGACACAGACACAGACAGACTCAGACTCAGACGCACACGCACACACACACACACACACACACACAGACAGACACAGACACAGACAGACAGACTCAGACAGACACAGACACAGACAGACACAGACACAGACACAGACACAGACACACACACACACACACACACAGACACAGACACACACACACACAGACACAGACGCGCACACACACACACACACACACACACACACACACACAGACTCAGACTCAGACACAGACACAGGGAAGAGAGAAGCACAGCAACTTTACGAACACATGCAAAGACATCAACCAACGAATGAATAAATACAAGGAAACAAACACGGCAGCAGAGGAAACAGAACAAAGCCACACACAACACAGGGAACGTCTGATGGATGGTGACCTTTCAAAGATTACTAACCTTTTGCTGCAATATTGTGTGTTTTTTTTGCTCTATATATGTTTTAGGCATAATCTTGCTTTGAAGTTTGAATAAAGGTAATCTTCACACCTGCTCATGTGCTGTGGCAGAAATGATCTCACTTGTGCTTTAAACAAGAGTACCATCTGTTAAATATAAAAAAAGAAAAAGAAAAAGTGTGCTTAGTTCTCTGTTTTATGAGATTTACTTTTCTTATTCCTATACAGAGCAAATTCATGATGAAACGAGAGAATCAGTAAAACACAAATTAACAGTATAACACTAACTTAAGTGTACTAAATATGAAGTATATCTAAAACAGTATAAGAAGTGTTTTTGAGTGATTATTTGTGTCTAAAGACAGACTCACAAACACCTTCCGTGTCAGAAGCAGCAGACGGGACGATGGTCTTGCTCTTGAGTTTCTACATTGATCCTATAGATCAGGCAGTTACTGAGGAGTCATACAGATGCTCCGGCAACAGGTCCGAGTGTTTGCTGAAATCGGTGTCTCTCTCAAAGGCAGGACTGTCTTTAGAATAAGGTTACAAGATGATGTTTGTTTTAAATGAACAACTGCATGTTAGACCCTAAAATAGAGCCTCAGTGTAAATGATGCATGATGGAGTTTTGCAGATGGTCTTTTTTTTTTAATTAAAAATAAAACTACTGCAAAAGCTAATGAGTGTGAATTCTGCTCTGGTGGATTTGTTTCCACAGTTGTTTTAATGTAAACTGTCCAAACC